CGTGTTTGAGCAAAAGCCTGCTGGTGCTAGCTTACGCTCATGATCTGGTAGAAGCAGAGTCATGACAGTGCAAAGCTGAAGTGGTCTGTCAGGACCCATAGCTTGGACTGGCAGACCTAAGATGAACTAGGAAGGTAGCTACAGATCAAGAAACACGCTGCTTTACATATATACATTCAAAGTATGCAGGGAAATTTGAAAGAAATTAACCTGAACTAAATATTCTTTTGCTATAGAACAAAAGTATTTATAAACTACTTACCTCGACACGTAGTTCAATATCTGAGACAGATACCGTACATTGAGGAATTAAGGCATCAAGGACTGTATGCAAGGCCAGCATTATTACTAAAAAGTATGAAACTAATTTAGAAGTATTACACTTGTGGTTAAGAGGAAAAAAAAAAAAATCAACGCAAGAACTTGACAGCATCATCTGTCCTGTAAAGCTCACCAAGACTATTTTATGGAGCACAACAAAACATGGTGTCAGTGCTTTAAGTCAACCCTGGACTGTTGCTGATCCTTTCGTCTTTGTCTACCACATGGTAGTAACACCACCTTACTAGAATAAGGGTGGATATTGGTCAGAGACAGGACCAGGGAACAATTTGTCTTTTATTCTGTCTCTCTGTTGATTTTTTTTTTTTCCTTTACGATCCAGTGAAAGTTATCCAACCCAGTAATATTATCAAACACAGTTTATTAAAAAATAAAGAATTAAAAAGAGATTTTGATCAGCCAGTTTAGATTTACACTTCATAAATGAAACAAATCATTCTCATCTTAGTTACAGAGCAGAAAAAAGTGAGTAACTTACATCCATGAATGACATCCCCTCTGATCTGCTTGTCAGCATCATGCTATTAAGATGCAACTCTTCCTTATCAAGCCCACTCAGGCCGGGGTAGCTGCCCTGCTTTCCACAGACACCCAGCACACGTCTGACTCTGCAGGAGACAGAACAGAGAAGAGGATGACAAATGGCAATCAATAGCCACTTTTTAAGAGCCCAAGAACCTAGGTGAAGGTACCAGCCCTTGGTAAGACAGACCGATCAGAACTAGCACCTGTCAAGTCCTTTTAAGTTCTAAGCGGAATTCCTCCTCCCTCCCTCCCTTCCCCTTCAAAGCTGTCATGAAAGACAATGATTTAGATCCACAGTTACACTTAGGGCCTACCTACTTCCCTAAAAAAAAATAAAAATAAGTCACTTGGATTAGCATACGTTTAAATTTGCATTTAATTGCTATTCACATCCATCTTATTCAGCGGTTGAGTATATTTAGTTCCAGTAAACTGTGAAAGATGAAAAACAGAATAGTGATTACCTTTATTTCTACTAAGGCAGCTCAAGTTTGTTTCTTGAAGACAGCTATAAAGCCAAGTTAATCTAGAAGAGAACAATCTGTAGAAGTTCATACATAGGAACTGCATACAGTATATCATCAAGGATCTGCAGGAAGAATATTTAAGTCATTTGCCTTGTTCTTAATAACTTCTCCTCCTCCTTTACCCCTTAGGGTAAAAGATTTCCTTCTAAGCTGGGAAAATGAAACAGCAACTAGCCTGCTGTAAAGCAGAATTTAAAAAAAAACAAACAACCAACCAAAACCCAAGCATCTGTCCTAAGAACAACAGTAGTCTCCCTCAATGTTTGATGCACTTTTTGATTAACAGCGAGAGCAGGCTGGGAGTTAATATTAAAAAGAGAATAGACCCAAAGTAAACATCCACTGTATAGTTAGAGTGGACTCAAATATTAAATGTTCTCCAGCAGTTCAGCTTTTAGATAGCAAGACAAAAAAAAGGGATATTCAAAATAACAATTGACTCATTTATTTTTATCTTTTATTATGAGCTAATACCAGGATGACATTCAAATGTCAGATGGCACAATTAAGACAGTCTTGGTAGGAATTATTCCAGCATTCCCAAAATTACAATTTAGTACACGAATGGCATCAAATGTATGCATCACTCCCACAGAGAAAAATTATGAAATTCTGAATATCTTATACCAGAATAGTTTCCGATTAAATGGGAAAAGAAAAACTGCTGGTAACACAGCTGACCTATAAACCTTTTGTGATAATGACCTGCAGAACAAAATATTCCCCTATTTAACATCTAGTAAAAAAAAAAATGACTTGTTCAAGTTTAAGATTTAATACTTTTATATGGTTAGCCACAACAGGTATTAACCTCAGTTTTACTATATTTTTGTAATGCTACAAAAATCCTATAAAATCAAATTATAGTGAATTTTTCAGTGATTATAATTAAAAAAGCGCAGCTTGTACAAAATAAAAAAAATAAGATTCTATACTCTAATGAAAAATTTAAGACATTTTTAAATGAACAAAAGAAAGCACTTGTTAAGCTCTCCAATATTCAATGCATTCTGCACTTATCTGAAATAGCCAGACAGGAGCTAGAACTCCACTCCCCTTAGTTCACAACTAGTAATTTTGATACTATTATATATATATAGAGGATCTATGTCTGATATTTTTACAAATAAATACAGGATAAACCATATTGCATAGTGTGTGCTTGCTGTCTGAGTCACACTCCAAAAGTTTCACAGTTACGGTAGGGAATTAAACTTATAATCTATGGGATGAAACATTGACAGTACATGAAATTTAATTTTAAAACCGATGAATTGTATCTGTAATTAATCAGTGAACTCAGACAAACAACTCTTGCCATTCTTGCCAGCCATATTAAACCAATTCTACTGGACAATTATATCCAGCCAACCAAAAAGCAACTGTTAGCTGTAACTAGGACCAAGAGAGATCTGCCTCAAAAAAGTCTTTTCTTTCCTTTTTTTTTTTTTAACTAAGTTCCTTTATACTCAGTAAACACGTTGGGAAACCTATGTTAACAAGTGGCACGGAGAGGCACTGCTTGAAGTGTTGCGTATTTGCAAATATGCATAATACAAACACACATGAGCACTTTGATTTCAGTTTCACAACATGTCACCAGTGGCCGTATTACCAAAGGAAAAATGGCAATCTTCCAGTACAATTCATGTCACTATAAGGTAACTTGATTTTCCTTATAAAACTAAAAAAACTTTCCAAGAAAAGGCTTATCAGGAAGAAAAAAAAAAAAACCACTAATTTTTGCTCAATCATAACCATCTTTTTTGTTGGTTCTTTGTTAGTATCAACAAGGTATCAATGAATCCTTCTGACTTGTAAATTTTAGAAAACAGCACTCTGATTGGATTCGACACGCTTAGAGAGTTTTATGGCTTGGATCCTATGGCTCAAAAAGATTCAGTATACACAGAATAAGCAGAATCTGTAAAAAAATCCCTACTGTTGTGAAACATAGAAGTAGACTTTGCACAGTTTGACTAAAGATAATGCAACGTGTGGCAGGCAAAAAGTGACAGGACTTGTATGCAGTTGCATGATCATATACACACACACGCACACACCATACACACTCTAACTAGTGTAAAGCTCTGCAGATATTAACCCTTTCACCAGCTATGTTCATGGAAATGCTTTCTTTAAGGCAGGAAGTATTTAAGTAAGGTAAAGTTACCTTTATTTTATTCTTTGTACCTGTAAGTCATTTGTACAGATTGTGACAATTTCAAAAACATAAATAGTGTCCTTAGAACATGTTTCCTAAATTAAGTTGCTAAAGTTCTGACCCACTGTGGAAGACATTCACTGAAAGGCCATTTAACACTTTTCTCATACAATCAGCAAATTTATTGCCCCAGCATAGAAAAAAATGTTGATAAATTTAGAAATGTATAATGGCAGGGAACGCCCACAAGCAAAATTTTGTTAAAAAAAAAAATTCCTCAAATTCTTACCCACTGGTAACAGAAAGGTTTGTTTCCTTACACTAAGTAGAATTTGTGTATGTTTCCTGTGGTACTTCCTGTATGTTTCTACTGACCTTGTACTCCGATGCACTTTTTCCTGATCTTTTATATGGGTAAGAATCTGAGCGTATTCAGCTGTCTCCATCTAAGGACTAGCGTATACAAAAGTGATGTTTCCCAGTGAAATGTCTGCTGAGGACAAGGATGAAATAAGCAGGACACGTATGTGAGCCCATGGCTTCCAGTTAAGCCTAGAACATAGCAGCATTGCCATTTGATTAGATCCATTTGTCTTTGCAGGAACAGGTATTTCAGCTGGGTAAGCAAGTGAAACAGTTCTCTCCCACCCCACATTGCCAAGCTGGAAATTGAGTGATCTGCTTATTGATTTGTTGTTTCATGAGGAGAAGAATCAGAACTAGAGCCTTTACTTTCTTCACAGCAACCAATTATTTTGCATTTTTAATTTTGGGATACTTTCCATAATGAGCTGAATCAAAAAATCTATTTGAAAAATATATTTTTATATATATAAAAAACTCATTATGTTTTGAATGTGAAATACCAATTAATTTTATCTTTCATCTTTGATTCCACCCCACTGTAGGAAACAGCTTAACCAAGCTTGCATGCTAATTATTCCTCAGACGCAAGCAAATAGGCATTTCATACTTTGCCTAGTGAAAGGGCTAACCCTCCTTGACACATTCACAACTAGACCAGTGATTCTGAAGCAACATCCTGACCCTTAATACTGTCAGTTTCAAGCTATCAAGCTGAAAAATCCTTGATAAGGTGAGAAGATGTCACTGCGAATCAGTTAGATGATGTGCCTAGAGTTCTGCAATACCATTTTCTAAAGTTTTTTATGCACCATTGATTGACAGAAAAAAATCCGTTTTTCTTTGCTTTCCAAGTCGCTCTGTGCAATGACTGACTCTTTGATACTGTCACTTTTTAAAAGTAAACCATACAAGCCCTCATATTTCAGCTTCAAGGGGGCTTATGTCCGTTCTTTGTTTTCCACCTT